GCCCTTTACTCAGATTAGTGGTATTTGAAATCACATTGGGACCATACCACAAGCCGTAATAGCCAAAAAATGCCCAATTTGGTTTTTGAATATTTTGTAGATTTCTACTTATTCAAGCTCTAGCGCATAGAAAGACCCTTCAAGCAAGTACCCCAGATGAGTTGTGTCGAACAACCAATACTGTGATTAGGATAGAGTAGCCCACGAGTATCACAGATGTGCCGTTGTCGCGGCTCGAAAGTGCGCGACAATGGCGCTAGGGCCTTACAAAGTGAGCTAATGACGACTAATGCGAGCTAATGGACGAGATATCTTGCGCATAACCCGTAACACGCAATGTGGATCACGGCGTAGCGGCTAATTCAAGTGCCCGCGCCTTGTGGAGTTGTTGTACAATCGAGCTCGGACAACTCGTCCGGAATGCTACTCATTAGAAAGAAGAGAGGGAGTCCTTCTTTAGCCCTCATCGGAGGTCATTTCCTTACTTTTTTCATTTTCTGGCAACTCGGCATCCACCATTTCATTATTGACCGCTGCCACTCCACCAATTCAACCTGGGGTTATTACTTCAAATGCCTATACGGCTTCAGCGAAACCCATAATATAGATCGCGGAAACTGGAGATAATCTCTCTACCCACTGGTTTACTGCTGACGATAGTAAACAATCTAACGTAATAGTAGGATCTTTATTACAACAAAACATCAATATATAGCTCTCAATCGTCACACACTCAGTACTTACAAAAACCGTAGGTCAAAGAACTAAACAATGTGCATCAGTGCCGATGAAGAGGACCGAAGACGATGAAATGGGGAACAGAAACAAATTGTACAAGCACACAGACACAATTGTGCAATTGGAACGCTAGGAAACGCTTCCCACTATACAGTATGAGCTGGCAGCGCGGTACTCTTCGTCACTACCGTAATCTAGAATTCGTCTGAGGAGCCTTTATGTGTACACTACTTCCCACTACAGTATCTAGTCCATAGTAACCAGAGTAAGACCCTGCAACCAAGAGAAACACGAGAAGTATGAAAGATGTGGAAGTGCTTGGGAGCTACGAGAAATAACCGGGCTACATTGAGCTAAAACATGGGTATTTTGCGCCTTTTACTCTGCAGTTCTGCGTCTCCTCCACGCAAACACTATCTCACGCTATCGCCGTCGTCGGCCACCAAGTATAGACGTAGGTGAGTGTCACCGAACGCGACAAAAACGCACCGCAGTCGGTCTGTTTGAATCGCGCGCGACGAGCGGGGAATTCGCGTGGGCGTGGAAACTTCACTAGCGACTATCTCCCATAACGACTAAACCACGAGAGGACAACAAGCGCAGTTTGGCCGGTAAAATAGCGCTGCGCATATCACTAAAAATAGCCCAAATTATAGAAATCTATAGAATTTAATCAGCTTTAAATACAACCGATATCACGTAGGCGCACGCACGCATGACGCACGCGTTGCGTTTCTAGCGTCAACGGCACTAAACAACACAGATATATGTCTACAGTAACCTCTAATCGATGATAAATGATGATGCCAAAACAACAAGAGCTTCCAAAGCAAACACAAACTCGTAGGACGTAAGGTACTCTATGAGACTAGACGTCTAGTAAATACACAGTAGAAAAAACACTTATCGCTCACTTTGTGTACAAAAAATCTGCCAGAAAAAAGGACACAATTATACAGATAGGGAACATTGCCGTGAACATCAATACGCGAAAAAACGCCGAAAAAAAAACTCGATTATTACTGGAAGAGTAATTCTTTTCTCTGAGAGGCAATGCAGCGCATGCAGCATCGACCCAACTTGTTGATAAAACTGTCGCTGTCAGAGAGAATATTCTAGAGAAGTCGTACAAGGATACGGTATCGTCGTCGACAAGTTTCAGCATTTCGCCGGTGGACGTCCGTGGCCGATTGGAGCGATCTTCGATGGGATCGCGTGCTGAGCTTTGATCAACCCCATTGCAACAGCTTTTTCGACGGGCAACTGCAAAATGTACGACATGAATGGGTCGGTCCTGCGAAGATCGCTGATATCTACAGTATACCTGTTTGTGAGGAAATACTGGAATATGACATTTGATACACGACTGTGCCTCGTTTGCCACCGAGTTCTGACTAGTCCACTTGCGTTTGCATTGATGGCACTGAAATGTACAGTATGCTTTCGATATTCTGCCTTGGAGGCAGCACCCTCAGATGAAATTTGTGGGGTCACAGTGGTCGTTAATAAAGCTTGGATGCGAGGTGAAAAAAAGCGCAGCGAAGAAAAACCGTCATGAGCCTAAACAAGGATATTCCTTGGTAATAAAGGAGGGGCAGGGGTCGACGAGGCAAAAGCTTGCCTGCTCCACACAAATAAATGCCTATTTTTATCACTATTACGCAAATAGATTTTACTGATGGTGTTGCTTCAATTATATCGTACTAACTAACCTGAAACTCTCCGTAGCACTTCTTCCTTCCTTGGTATGGAGTCAACTCGTCGTATGGGGTGTTGAAGCGCTGGAAAACAGTTAAATAATGTTCCTCCCGGAAGGGGGTCGCTGATAATTTCAAAGCGGGGATTCCTATATGTGACGGGCTTGCTCTATATATGCCAATTTAACCATGCTCTCATTCGTTATACAAACATTCTGCCCTTTTTTGAATTCACTCATTTGATTCCAGAGGACTCTCGGTCCAGGTGCTTCCATTACTTCTGCACGTTTTATGATGCTCGGGGAATACATTGCCGGTGACATACATCCCCATATGAGTTGCTGCATGCATAATATGCGCCACAGTCTACGATTCCTGCTTCACATGTCCTACCCCTCAAGCTACATACACATCCTCCTTGACATTCCTTTCCTCTATTCCCTGCCAAATGCTTGGGCCTCGCACACTTTAGGCTTATCTACATACATTTTCGCGTGACTCAACGTATCTCTCACATTCACTAGAGAAATTCGAATACCGTGCAAAGATGAAGGCATACCATTGGACAATCGGAAATGTAGTGACCAGTTCGATAACAGATATGACATTGATATTTGGTAGGTGGGGCCTTTTTGGGGGAGCACAGGAGCTCCTCGAAACCAGCGATTTCATCTTTACTGAAACCGTCCTCCAACGCGAGAGGAACCGATGCGCTCTCCTGAAATAGAGCTGTTTTAGAAATAAAGTGCTGTAAATAGAAAGCTCTCAGAAATCAATCAATAAGTACGAAATTCATTTTTTTTCCATTTCAATCAAAAATATTCGAAGTTCAAACGGTTCTCCAAGTTGATCTGTCCTGCTCAACGTAGGCGACTTGTTATTCTTATGCTATATATGAGGGCTGAGACCTAGGAGCAGGGTTACCCGCCCGTTGTTCCGATCGTCAGAAATTTACGACCCCCATCACCATCATCAGCCTTAGGAGAGTCCCCCTATGCAACCCTTCTATTCCCATCCGCGAGCACCACCCTCTGTTTCTATAGCATTTGATTATGGGACCAGTCGACACACCCATCTCCGCCCACTTTTTCTTCCAAAAGCCGACAGAGGGGGGGGAGCTGAGGTAAAAGTAAAAGTCAACGAGTAAGGGAATAATAAAATGGCCGAAGGTACGGCAAATCCTCTAATTTCGACCATATTATGCTTACTTATTCGAACCTCTACAGAAATTATCAGAAAATGCCCCAAAGACGACCCTCTCTCCCTACTACGACCCCCTTCAACTTCTAAACACACGACCCCTCTTGCGATCTTTTCACCTTCACCACCCCTAGTACAACCCCTCCCCCTCCGAAAAAACTTTAATAAACCGCTACCGTTGAAAACTACGCAAATGACAGCTAACCCTGCTGAGAAACGGATAAATTTGCTATTAACTAGTAGCAACTGATCTACTTCTATTTATCTTTTAATAATTAATTAATACTTAATTTTTCGTCGTAATTCCCTCTACAGTTATTCTCATGAAATTGTCGTTTCTGAAACGTCAGAAATGGGCAAATCACATGCCTTCGAGAGCGACCCCAATGAACTGACTGTATTGACACATGGTTGAGTCGTTAAAGGTCATTCATGTGATCGGAAACAGTCACAAAAGTTTCAAAGAATGACGTCATTCGAAGAAGACCTGTTCTGAATTACGGGGGCGCTACGCCCTTGGCAGAGTCAGTCGATATTTAGCCAGGTACTTACTTCTACCTTGAACTAGTCTAAAAAGAGTGATCTAACGACCATGAAATTGTTCAAGTTAGTGTTCCATCTTCCAGCATTAATTTTATTCCCAGCTGGAGCAGTTGAACTGAATT